AGCTCATAATAATAATACAGGTAAAGGTTTTCCCTAACATTATGTCTAATCGTGTCCAACTGTGTGTTGGGACTCAGCCTGTGATTGAACCTGTGAATGTGTTTCAGTCTCCTGATGTTTCTGTGTCTGATGTGGGTCATGAGGAGGGAAATCAGTCCCCTGTTGCTTCCGATGCAGGGGATGCTGGGACTGACTCTGAGGTGCAAGATGGAGACACTTTGGTCAATGAGCTTCATGCAGACACTGACAGAGAGACTTTGGTGCAAAGGGCAGATTCTCATGAGAATGCTTCTGTCAGGCCTTAGGAGAAAGGCTTACTCCTTCCGTCTGTGAGCTCTCCAGATTCTAGTTTGGAAAACAGTCTGACATCTGCTAAAGTTAATGAGGAGTCAGATAAGCAGAGTCGGCGGCTGGAGATTAGCCAGAATTCACAAGAGGCCCAATGTTTATGTAGATCCGAAAGAATTCGTCAATTAAAGTCAAAGTCTGGGGGAAAGCGAAACCAGTTTTTGGGATTTAAGGTTTGCCTGTAGAAAATCTTGTCAGATCAGGCATCATTTGGAAACCAAGCACAAGCCTCATGGAATTTGTGTTCAAGTGGTCTCGTCTTCATGGATTTTTCTAGCCTTTCAAGTTGACTAGCCGTGTCTGGTCTGTTTTTGCTTCTTGTTTGATTCCTGTATGGATAAACATTGCCTTGGATTATATTTTCATGCTTTTTGGACATTGCTTTTGATTGCTACATTTGGACACTGTTTTATCTGGCTGTCTTTGAATGCCTTATTGCTTTTTGGAATCTTATCTATCTTTACAAGCATTTATTTCTACTGGCTTTTTTTTGCTAAGCTTTAATAAAAAGGATTGTTCCTTCACTCAAAGTGTGGTGTGTTTATAGTCAGAGGGGTATTTCTTGTTCTGGAGTGCAACACTCTGTGGGGTGCTGCTCATCTCCATTTCTTAGCCAGCATTGTCTGCAGACACCTCCAAGGTCATGTGGCCAGGATGATTGCATGGAGTGCCGTTACATTCCCACAGAAGTGATACCGAGTGATCTACTCATATTTGCATGTTTTTGAACTCCTGGGTTTGCAGAAGCTGGGGCTAACAGCGGGAGCTTGCCTCACTCCCTGGATTCAAATTACCAACCTTTCAGTCAGCAAGTTCAGCAGTTTAACCCACTGGGGGCTCCATACTGAGATAGATAACTAGCTAGCAGTAATGTTCAAAGCGCTGGTCCTGTCCTATAAAACACTATACGGCTCCGGCCCAGCTTACTTGTCCGAAAGTATCTCCCTCTACGTTCCACCTCATAGTTTAAGATCATCCGGGAAGGCCCTGCTAGGTCCCACCAACTTCGCAAACACGGCTGGTGGGGACGAGAGACGGGGCCTTCTTGGTGGTGACCCCCCCACCTGTGGAATTTGCTCCCCAGTGAGATCGGGTCTGCTTCATTCCTCCTTTCCTTTTTGGAAGAAATTAAAATCATGGTTTTGGAACCAGGCTTTTGGCCAGCAGGTGTGACAGCACCTTGGATGTCAAACAGCACCTTGGATGTCAAACTGGAGTACATTATTGTGATAATGATGGAAATGGCTATATGTATTGTCGAAGGCTTTCATGTCCAGAATCACTGGGTTGTTGTAGGTTTTTTCGGGCTATATGGCCACGTTCTAGAGGCATTTTCTCCTGACGTTTCACCTGCATCTATGGCAAGCATCCTCAGAGGTTGTGAGGTCTCACTACCTCTGAGGATGCTTGCCATATATGCAGGTGAAACGTCAGGAGAGAATGCCTCTAGAACATGGCCATATAGCCTGAAAAAACCTACAACCCAGTGGCTATATGACTATGATAATAATGTTTTAAATGTTTTAAATCTATTGTTTTGTTTATTGTTTATATTGCTGTTATAGTTGTCTTATGTGTTGTGGCATCAAATTGTTGCCAATGTAAACCACTATGAGTCCCTGTGTGTGTGTGTGTGTGTGTGTATACACACACACATCACAAAGCATGTCTGAAAAATGATGTTATCAACTCAAGAAGACAAATACAGAAAGAAGAGAGGAATTGCCTGCATTCACACGTAACACTAAGCTACAGGTTGCATCTACACTGTATAATTAATGCAGTTTGACATCACTTTATCTGCCATGGATCAGTGCTATACAATGACGGGCTTGTGGTTTTACAAGGTTTTTAGCCTTCCCTGCCAAAGAGTGTTGGGACTTTGCCAAACTACATCTCCCAGTGGAAGTCTCTACTCCAGAATCTATTTCCTGTTTGTATACAATTTATCCTAATGGTTGGCAGTTCTGATGGGGAAATTGCCAACAATTCCTAAGACCGGAAGCAATAAACATGAATTACACAGATACCGCATTAAGTGATATAGAGAAGAATGAACCTGCTTTGAAGAATCCTAGAATCAAAGAGTTGGAAGAGACCTCCTGGGCCATCCAGTCCAACCCCATTCTGCCAAGAAGCAGGAATATTGCATTCAAAGCACCCCTGACAGATGGCCATCCAGCCTCTGTTTAAAAGCTTCCAAAGAAGGAGCCTCCACCACACTCCGGGGCAGAGAGTTCCACTGATGAATAGCTCTCACAGTCAGAAAGTTCTTCCTCATGTTCAGATGGAATCTCCTTTCTTGTAGTTTGAAGCCATTGTTCCACGTCCTAGTCTCCAGGCAGAAAACAAGCTTGCTCCCTCCTCCCTGTGACTTCCTCTCACATATTTATACATGGCTATCATGTCTCCTCTTGGCCTTCTCTTCTTCAGGCTAAACATGCCCAGCTCCTTAAGCCGCTCCTCATAGGGCTTGTTCTCCAGACCCTTGATCATTTTAGTCGCCCTCCTCTGGACACATTCCAGCTTGTCAATATCTCTCTTGAATTGTGGTGCCCAGAATTGGACACAATATTCCAGGTGTGGTCTGACCAGAGCAGAATAGAGCATGGGGAGCATGACTTCCCTAGATCTAGACACTAGGCTCCTCTTGATGCAGGCCAAAATCCCATTGGCTTTTTTTGCCGCCACATCACATTGTTGGCTCATGTTTAACTTGTTGTCCACGAGGACTCCAAGATCTTTTTCACACGTACTGCTCTCGAGCCAGGCATCGTCATCCCCCATTCTGTATCTTTGCATTTCATTTTTCCTGCCAAAGTGGAGTCTCTTGCATTTGTCCCTGTTGAACTTCATTTTGTTAGTTTTGGCCCATCATCTCTCTAATCTGTCAAGATCGTTTTGAATCCTGCTCCTGTCCTCTGGAGTATTGGCTCTCCTTCCCAATTTGGTGTAAATTCCTATAAACATAAATTCCACAGATACCGATTTAAGTGATATATAGAAAAAGAACTCTATGTTCCACTTTATGGCACCATTTCTATTGCGAAGTAACCAATGTTTAGTGCGTAACTGTAAATAAAGAAAGTAAATTAAAATAATTGGCCTTCTGGCCTAGACAAAATAAAATAAAATGCAGGAGCACTGACAAATTAAGTTTGGAAATTAGTGTTTCAAAATACCTTTCCGTAACGGTGACAAACATGGCACTTCTGGGCGGCAATCTTCACAAACAAGACGCTGGGAAGACAGTGTCGGTGTTATTTTATTATTCCGGAGAGCATAAATAAAACAAAAATATGAAAGCTAAGGAATATGAGACATTCAGGTTCCTAAAATAGTACCACGGGAAGGAGTCAGAAGTTTATTTTATAAATGGCTGGGAATATGTTTTTAAGCATTGTCAGAATTCTCTTAATATCTGCTTCTGCATCAAGCTGGCCCCAAAGAGCTCATTCTTATAATATATAATTGTTTTGAATCTTGGAACAGAATGTTACTAAAACCCTTGATTCACTTTAAAGGCAAAGGTTTTACCTTAAATCTAGAAATAGTTTTCTAAGATCTACAGAGACACTCGCTGGAGTACCTCAGCAAGCGAGAGTCCAAAAGTGGCAGGCTCAAACCCAGAATCTCATTGGAATCAATGGCTGATACCATTGACTTTTGAATATCTGTCTTTCAAAGATTTGATCGATTTCTAAACACAAATTTAATATATGTTGCATATACGTCATCTACGCATAGTTTGAATGTAATTGTGTACAACATATTTAATAATTTGTGCATATAATAAAATTGGGAGTGCACTGAAGCATGTGGAAACCAATGTGATCCATGCTCCTATAAGTCACCATAATGCCCTGACCGTGCGTGATGCTATTTGCTTTTGGAAGCTAAGCAAGGTCGGACTTACTCAGTACAGAAGAGTCTCGCTTCTCCAACCTAAACAGGCCGGCAGAACGTTGGATGAGTGAAAATAATAAGGAGGGATTACACAAAAGCCTATTAAACATCAAATTACGTTATGATTTAATGAATTAGAATCATAGAATCCTTCAGTTGGAAGAGACCTCATGGACCATCCAGTCCAACCCCTTTCTGCCAAGAAGCAGGAATATTGCATTCAAAGCACCCCTGACAGATGGCCATCCAGCCTCTGCTTAAAAGCCTCCAAAGAAGGAGCCTCCACCAACACCACAGTGTTGTTAAAACACTGGTGGTGAAAATTTCAGAACTCTAACAAAACTTTCAAAATTTCATTATTAATGACTTTTTATGACAGAACCAATTAGGAACTGCCATTTATAATGAAATTTTGAAAGTTTTGTTAGAGTTCTGAAATTTTCACCACCAGAACTTTAGCAACACTGTCGAAGCAAAGCACCAGCGCCACCTAGTTTTCACAACCAGAACTTTAGTTTTGTAAGTACTTTAGAACCATGGATTGCACATGCCTACTAGGTAGATACACCAAAGGCAGTGGTTCTCAACCTGTGGGTCCCCAGGTGTTTTGGCCTACAACTCCCAGAACTCCCAGTTTACCAGCTGTTGGGATTTCTGAGAATTAATAAATGACAGTGTCCTATGTATTTAAGAAAATTGGATCCCTTCCTCAGGTGCATTTTGGAGCATTCTAGTAGTGCAGTTCCCATGGCAATAATTCCTATTCTAGAAAGGGAGAACTACTTCAAACTCCCAGACTAAAACAATGCAGCCTTCTCTGGTATATTCCACAGGTTTTGAACTGCGTTGCAATCCGAACCAGGACAGTGTCAGCATTAAAAAATGTGAGTCCCAGCAGAATTGGAGAATGTTCATTGTTCTGTGGCATATTCTGGACCAAATTCAGGCTACGATTTCCACACTCGAATCCTTGGTCATATAGCCTGAGGCATAAGCACTCCCTTATACTACATAACACAATTTTTGTTCCTGGGTTATAAATGTCATTTCCTATTTGGTGGATGGGAAGCTTCCCAACGGAGTGAAATCATCTATCGGACAGATGGCAATCTATTTGACCTCAGAAGACTGAAAGCCAAAATCAAGGTTTGTTATAGAACTCCAATATGCTGATGATAATGTAGTCTGAGCACATTCAGAAGAAGACCTTAAAGCGACTCTAAACACCTTTGCAGAAGCATATGAGAAGCTCGCCCTCTCATTGAACATCAAGCAAACCAAAGATCTCATCCAGCAGAGCCAATCCCTCTCCAATGCCAGAGCCAACCCCTCTCCAATGCCAGAAATATAGCTTAATGGTGTAACATTAGAAAATGTTGACCATTTCCGTTCCCTTGGCAGCCACCTCTCCACAAAAGTCAACACTGAAAGCCAAAACTAAGGTCATGACAACATCTGTTATAGAACTCCAATATGCTGATGATAATGTAGTCTGTGCACATTCAGAAGAAGGCCTTAAAGCCACTCTAAACATCTTTGCAGAAGCATATGAGAAGCTCAGCCTGTCATTGAACATCAAGCAAACCAAAGAGCTCTTTCAGCAGTCACAGCCAACCCCTCTCCAATGCCAGAAATACAGCTTAATGGTGTAACATTAGAAAATGTTGACCATTTCCGTTCCCTTGGCAGTCACCCCTCCACCAAAGTCAACACTGAAAGCCAAAACCAATGTCACAACAACATATGTTATAGAACTCCAATATGCTGATGATAATGTAGTCTGTGCACATTCAGAAGAAGGCCTTAAAGCCACTCTAAACACCTTTGCAGAAGCATACGAGAAGCTCGGCCTCCCATTGAACATCGAGGAAACCAAAGTGCTGTTCCACCAGTCACCAGCCAATCCCTCTCCATTGCCAGAAAGACAGCTTAATGGTGTAATATTAGAAAATGTTGACCATTTCCGCTCCCTTGGCAGCCACCTCTCCACAAAAGTCAACACTGAAAGCGGAAACTAAGGTCATGACAACATCTGTTATAGAACTCAAATATGCTGATGATAACGTAGTCTGTGCACATTCAGAAGACCTTAAAGCCACTTTAAACACCTCTGCAGAAGAATTTTTTTTGTCGTGTCAGGAGCAAGTTGCTTCTGGTGTGAGAGAATTGGCCGTCTGCAAGGACGTTGTCCAGGGGACACAACCAAAAAATTATTATTATTATTATTATTATTATTATTATTATTATTATTATTATTATATCCTTGGGCTATGCTGGATCACATAAGGAAGTCTATCACAAAACCATGGAAAAGGTTTCTCAAACTGCAAAAAACTTTCTTTCTGCGGGAGGGACATCTTGCAGCACGTTTTGTTATAGTTTTTCAATGTCTCAGAGAATCTCAAGCAATTCAACAGAATTTGTGGCAGCCACAAAAATGAAGTTTCTGGAGTAGAACTACTTTCAAATTAAGTACCACACGATTAAACAGGAGTAACACTTTCAAATTAGGAACAAAAAAATATATCAAATTTTGTTAACGTTGTGCTATGGAACTAAACTGCATAATTATAAAACCACTCCTCTGAAAGAACATTAAGGCAAAGGTGTGTCCTTTGGAAAGAATAGAATCATAAAATCCTAGAGTTGGACGAGAGTCCAACCCCATTCTGCCAAGAAGCAGGAAAATTGCATTCAAAGCACCCCCGACAGATGGCCATCCAGCCTCTGTTTAAAAGCCTCGAAAGAAGGAGCATCCACCACACTTCGGGGCAGAGAGTTCCACTGCTGAACAGGTCTCACAGTCAGGAAGTTCTTCCTAATGTTGAGATGGAATCTCCTTTCTTGTAGGTTGAAGAACAAGGTCCCCAAAATGAACTTGAGGTCAACTATGGAACGATGACCACGCCACGTCCGATGTGTAAAATTCGGCCTCCGGCGACCATTCCAGTCGATCCTCCTCGGATCGGTCGCTGTCGTCCCCGCTGGAAGGTTCGTAGCCGGACAGAGGAGACGGGACTCGTTTCGACTGCTCTTCGGCTTCCTGTTTCTCCGCCATGAGCTGTTTGTAGCACAGATTGCAAACTCTCAACGGCTTTGGGGAGAGCCGGGGCATGAGAAAGCGCTGCCTGGAGCAGTCTCCGCACACAACGAAGCCGCACTTCCGACAGTGGTGCCGTCGCGTGATAGCGGAGAACTTGGTCTGCGTGCACCGCATGCAGATATCGGTGGCCTTGTCAGGGATCCACGGGGCGGCGTGTTCGGTGGGGGGCGGCCGGCCCGTCTTGGACAACAAAATGCGGATGCACTCCTCCAAGTGGCTGATCCATTCTTTCCTCTCCGTCAGGGAAGCGGCCGACACCACAAAAGACTTCTTGGCCGTCTTGATCATCCACCGGTTCTTCATCTGCAAGGTGTCCGGCAACGTTTCCAAAGTGACTTCGTCCAGCGGGATGATGTGCTGGGAGCTGTACTTCCTCTTGTTGATGACGATGCTCCCGTAGACAAGGATGTCGTTGAAAAGGAAGAAAATCCGCGGCTTGGCCTTCTTGCGGCATTCTTTGGTCAAGATCCCTTCGCCCAGGAGGACTCTTCCCGGCACGGCCAAGGGCTGCCCAGAGGTACCAAAGCAGCTTTCCACCGCGGCAATGCGCTGGCTGTTAATCTCCGTATTCGCCAGGTGGTCCACCATCTTGGATGGGCACCTAAGGGGAAAAGAAGAGTACCAAACAGAAATTAAATCCGTGAGTTTTCCGAGGGGGAAAAATAAAAACAGGACTATAATTCAACGTATCTCAACGTATCTCAGCCTATCAGCCCACCAGGACCCTAAGATCTTCTGGAGAGTCCCTGCTCTCTATCCCACCGGCTTCCCAAGTGCGGCTGGCGGGAACGAGAGACAGGGCCTTCTCTGTGGTGGCCCCTCGGCTTTGGAACACCCTCCCTATAGAGATACGATCAGCCTCTTCGCTGATGGTCTTTCGGAAGAGATTAAAAACATGGTTGTGTAAACAAGCATTCAATTAGTTTGTTACTATTGAATTTATAGACTAAGGACTGGTTAACTATGGATGACGAACTCTGGACTGTGATTTTTGTGACGAGAAGCATGGTATTATTATTGGTGGCCCAATAATTTGTATTGTTTACGTGTTGTTGTTTTAAATTGTACATTGCTTTTAATTGCTGTAAACCGCAATGAGTCGCCGATTTAGGCTGAGATATTAGCGGTATACAAGTGTATTAAATAAATAAATAAATAAATAAATAAATAAATAATTTTTTCTAATCTTTCGAATAATACTATCTAACACCATTTTTGTTCTTGGGTTATACATGTCACGTCCTAGTATAGTTTTTCAATGAATCTTTGATAGGGTTGCTGTGAGTTTTCCAGGCTGTATGGCCATGTTCCAGAAGCATTATTTATTTATTYATAGCATTTTCTAATAAYAATAATAATAATAATAATAATAATAATAATAATAATAWTAATTTATTATTATTATTATTATTATTATTATTATTATTATTATTATTATTATTAGTTACATAACAAGATGGTCCCTGTGRTGATGGGCACACTGGGTGCAGTGCCTAAAGACCTTGGCCTGCACTTAAATACAATCAGCGCTGATAAAATTACCACATCTGCTGCAAAAGGTTGTAATAATATCCTATAGTTTTTCAATGAATCTTTGATAGGGTTGCTGTGAGTTTTCCGGGCTGTATGGCCATGTTCTAGAAGCATTGTTTATTAATTTATAGCATTTATATTCTGCCTTTCTCACCCCGCATGGGACTCAGGGCAGATCCCAATGTGTTGCACACCAGGCTCAGCGATGAGTCCAGGATCACTCCTAGGCTGCGAACCTGCGTCTTCAGGGGGAGTGTCACCCCGTCCAGCACAGGCTGTAACCCTATGCCCTGTTCGGCCTTTTGACTGACCAGGAGTGCATCTGTCTTGTCTGGATTTAGTTTCAATCTGTTGTCCCTCATCCAGTCCGTTACAGCGGCCAAGCACCGGTTCAGGACTTGGACAGCCTCCTTAGTAGCAGGTGGAAAGGAGCGACATCATCTACAAGGGAGGACCTCCTTGCGGCAACACCAGAGGAACTCCAAGTGGCCAGATACCGGTCAAAGGACATTTGATCAACTACCTAACTCATAAATTTTGTATTTTGTCTGTTTGTTTGTTTTGTTCTGTTAGAAATGTAATATAATTGACTGGTTGCCCTGACACGAGAAATAAAATATATTTCATGTATATGTTGAACAACAGAGACTTATATCATGACACATGTGCAGTTTCAGCGTCCTGTGATAAACAGAAGTGAGTCAGGGGAAATCTTTAATGAACCCCCCTCGTATATGCAGGTGGAACAACGACAAAAATTAAGGATCATGGGACCTGATACCATTTTGAAAAACAAAACCACAGTTAAGTGTATAGTGCAGCGATGCTGGGCTGCTTTGCCGTAGTGACGGACTCACTTCCCCGCCATCAGTCGCTCTGATCATAATTTGATCACTTAGGAGACCAAAAAGAAAACCACTATGAAGTCATTTCCCTCCTATGAACATAATGACTCTGTGCACTTCAGAGCAAAGGGGGACCGGCGCATGAAAGCCCTTTGTAAGGAAACTAAAACTACAGTCCCTCTGATCTCGGTGCGCATTTGAAGTAGTAACACACAGCTTTAAAAAACGGCAACTCCAATTACACAATAGAGAGGGAGAAGGAGGGAGAGAGGGTTGCTGGCGAGCCAAGCTTTTATAGCTATTAGAGAGCAGTTGTTTCCATGAGTGCTCTTAGCGGGGGGCTTGTGCTAACCTTTTATCACGGAATCCATGGGGCTGATTAGTGACGCTGGACTTCTCCCATGTTCGCAACGTCACATGTGAAAGCAGTAATTGCATGCCTTGGTGGCAGCTGAAAATCAAAGGCAGGGGGAGAGGCTGGTCTGAGATGCCACTTCAAAGCCCTTTGGAACTAGCTCCCCAAACAGTCGGGAGCACTTTGCTCTCCGTTTCCAAACTCCACACCTGGAAAAGAAGGTGAGGAAAGATCCTCCTGGACCTGGACCAAAGGTACATTAAGTCCAAGGGGACAGCATACTTCCCACATTGATTTTGCAGTATTCACACAAGCTTTCAAGATGCCAGGACTACATTTAGTCTGCTGCTTTCGAGCTACGCTTCTAAGCTGATATTTAAGTATGAGGGTTGAATGAAAAGTAATGCCTCCACCTTTGTAACTCCTCAACAGATGGAAGTACTGGTATGTGGCAGGTACTGGCTTGTTCAGTAGACTCTCCTCTACAGTTCTATTTTGGCAGGAAGCCTTAGCAGGAAAAGTAATGCCTCCACCCTCATAACTCCTCAACAGATTGCAGTACTGGTATACGGCAGGTACTGGCTTGTTCAGTAGACTCTCCTCTACAGTTCCATTTTGGTGGGAAGCCTTAGCAGGAAAAGTAATGCCTCCACCCTCATAACTCCTCAACAGATTGCAGTACTGGTCTACGGCAGGTACTGGCTTGTTCAGTAGACTCTCCTCTACAGTTCCATTTTGGCAGGAAGCCTTAGCAGGAAAAGTAATGCCTCCACCCTCATAACTCCTCAACAGATTGCAGTACTGGTATACGGCAGGTACTGGCTTGTTCAGTAGACTCTCCTCTACAGTTCCATTTTGGTGGGAAGCCTTAGCATTGAATGGTTGTGTTTTTAAAGTATGTGCAGACGGTTGGTCAATGCGACATAAGCAACGTGTAGTCACTTGAATTCTTGACATCAGAAGGTGTCACCCCAAAGGAGATCCATCAGAGAATGCAAGCTGTTTATGGTGACTGTGTTGATGTGAGTACTGTGCGTTGTTGAGCGAGTAAGTTTAAAGATGTTGAGGTGACACCTTCTGCTGTCAAGAATTCAATGACTGCACATTGCTTACGTCTGCGCATGGTTCCATACTTTGCACTCTACCACACTTTTGGGCAGAGAGTTTCACTGCTGAACAGCTCTCACAGTCAGGAAGTTCTTCCTAATGTTCGGATGGAATCTCTTCTCTTGTAGTTTGAAGCCACTGTTCCATTGCGTCCTAGTCTCCAGGGGAGCAGAAAGGAAGCTTGCTCCCTCCTCCTCCCTGTGGCTTCCTCTCACATATTTATACATGGCTCTCATATCTCCTCTCAGCCTTCTCTTCTTCAGGCTAAACATGCCCAGCTCCTTAAGCCGCTCCTCATAGGGCTTGTTCTCCAGACCCTTGATCACTTTAGTCGCCCTCCTCTGGACACATTCCAGCTTGTCAATATCTCTCTTGAATTGTGGTGTCCAGAACTGGACACAATATTCCAGGTGTGGACTAACCAAGGCAGAATAGAGCACGGGGAGCATGACTTCCCTAGATCTAGACACTACGCTCCTCTTTTTGTAGGCCAAAATATCATTGGATTTTTTTGCCGCCGCATCACACTGTTGGCTCATATTTAACTTGTTGTCCATGAGGACGCCAAGATATTTTTTATACTTCCTGCTCTCAAGCCAGTCATCTGTCAAGAAGCAGGAAAATTGCATTCAAAGCACCCTCAACAGATGGCCATCCAGCCTCTGCTTACAAGCCTCCAAAGAAGGAGCCTCCACCACACGGGGCAGAGAGTTCCACTGCTGAACAGCTCTCAGAGTCAGGAAGTTCTTCCTTATGTTCAAATGCAATCTTCTTTCTTGTAGTTTGAGGCCACTGCTCCGCGTCCTAGTCTCCAGGGCAGCAATAATAATAATAATAATAATAATAATAATAATAATAATAATAATAATAATAATATCATGCCCAGCTCTTTAAGCTGCTCCTCATAGGGCTTGTTCTCCAGACCCTTGATCATTTTAGTCGCCCTCCTCTAGGAGGGAGCAATCTTGTTCTCTGCTGCCCTGGAGACTAAGATACAGAACAATGGCATCAAACTACAGGAAAGGAGATTCCACCTGAACATTAGGAAGAACTTTCTAATTGTGAGAGCCGTTCAGCAGTGGAACTCTCTGCCCTGGAGTGTGATGGAGGCTCTTTTTGGGAGGCTTTTAAACAGAGGCTGGATGGCCATCTGTTGAGGGTGCTTTGCATGCAGTTTTCCCTTCCTCCTTATGACTTCTCCTCACATACTTATACATGGCCCTCATCATGTCTCCTCTCAACCTTCTCTTTTTCAGGCTCAGCATGTCCAGCTCTTTAAGCCACTCCTCATAGGGCTTGTTCTCCAGACCCTTCATCATTTCAGTCACCCACCTCCGGACACATTCCAGCTTGTCAACATCTCCCTTCAATTGGAAAGGATACGCAAGCAAATTCAAATAGGAAAAAAGACACAAAGGACAAGAATCGTGGGAGTCAGCAGGTTTCAGAGCAGACGCGACTGAGCCAAGACAACAGTTTTATCCGGCTTTTGGAAATCATTTGCAGAGGTTGACTTTTGACCAAGTCATGGGAAAGCCGCTCTCTTTCCTTCCAAATGCACTTTTGCAAAAGATACAGCCATGATTTATACATTGGCTTGTTTTGTTTTGTTTAGTAAAACAAAACAAAACAAGACAAACAAAACATGTATTTGCTTGTAACTGTTTCCAGAGAGCTTGAAACTCTTGAGCGCAACATATGAAGCACTTTGTAAACACATACTTCCTCCCTTCGCTGAATGTATTCAGTGGGGTTCGTTCA